AAATTCGGTTCTTGTGTGTTGTGTGTGCGTCTCTGTGCTTGTGTGTGTATGTGCTCAGCTGGCTCTGGGTGAGAATAAAATTAGCTAAGAGCATAGGAAATTGTAACTGACCATTTTTGACCTATGAAAACGTTTTTTTCCACCCATGGTTCAACACAATAGGGTAAATTAAAACCCAGGTAGAGAAACCCTTTGTAAACTAATGTGTTGACTATTGTTCCCAGCTCTGTAATTGGGTTTCTGGTATCTCATTTCAGTCAGAGGCTGTTCTGAGACAACTTCATTGCTACACCCAGGGCGACAGGGTGCAAGTTCATAGGGTAGTTGATTAAGACCCAAGTAAAATTCAGGCAAGGACATGCCCTGGGATTGGGTGATAACCGTGCTTCAGATTCTCTTAGTCGTTCACAAAATCTGTCTCGCTGAACTTGCAGCACTTCCGCACCTCCCCCTCTTCCCCACCGCCTCCTTGCCACGGGTCAGTTAGGCTAGCGCTCCAGTGGCAGGAATGACACAGGACTCAGTCAAGCTCTGGAAACAGTTTCAGCATCTGCTGAATTTCGGGATGTTGCAGTGAGCCTGGAGGTCTGCCCCAGCTTTTTTCCCTGCCGCTTCTCCCGGACCTGCCTGCTTTTCTGTCACCCTAAAGGACAGCTCTCACAGTGTCTTGAATTCTCAACCCCAAGGTGAGGGCGTTTGCTGGGTTGAGTTAGTCACCATCCATCAGGGAACCCCTACAGATGGTTACCGTAGATTTAAGGACCAGCTACATAATTTTGGGGGCCTAATATGAAATGAAAATGTGGGCCCCTTAATAAAAAATTATCGAGAGCTCAAGACAGCCACAGCTGGTCCTTCTGAGTGTGGGACCATATGACTGCCAAGGTTGCAGGCTCCCAAAGCCAGTCCTTGTTGGCCAAGGGTCGAAGGCCATGGTCATTATGGGGGGGGTGGGCAGGAAGGCCACAGACATGAAGCTTCCTCAAGACTCCCCATTTGGGCCCTGGTTGGGTAGCTCAGTTGGTTGGAGGATCATCCCCTTATGCCAAGGTTGTGGGTTCCATCTCTGGTCCAGGCACATTCAAGAATCAACCAATGAATGCATACATGAGCAACACTTTGCCTTTCCGTGTCAGCCCCTAACTCCCCACTGTTTCTACAGGAGCTCACTGATGGCCTACGGAGTGAAGGAACTGGGGAAAGAATTTAACCATGAGTAGGGCAGGGCCAAATCAGAAAAGGAAGCCTTGGAAAAATAGTCATTCAGGATGATGCCTAAATCATCTCAATGATTTAACACAAAGACCTGGGGAAAAGCTTAATGAGAGTCCCTAGCTCTGACTAAGAGTGTAAGTTGGGGTCACAGGTTGGCAAATTTCTGAGTTGCCCTTGCCTTCCAGGTGCCCTCACTTGGCCTCCTATGGAGTTCAGGTGAGAAGCCCACTAGGTGAGCTGCCTGGCCCAAGGGTGGGTAGCCAGAATCCCAGGGATTCACCTATGCAGAATCACTTCCAAGCAGAACACATTTATTCGGTTTGTTCGGTTTCAAATTTTCTAAAAGATCTGCCAGTGATTCAGACTTTCTTATAGGAATTGAGCACCCCCTGCTGGTAGAGTACTAACTAGCATTGACACTGAACTGTCTACTCTCAATGTACCAAAATTGGAAAACACACCCTGGGGATTTAACCTTGTATACAAACCAGTGACAACAATATGATTCATGCTGCTGAAGTTATGAGTTATATATGGGTTTGGTAATAGGTTAATTTTTTAAATGTTGCGTGACTCCTGGGTTCCTAATAAAAATGATTCAGTTCTTTATCTCAAATATAGAAACAAGGTCAACATTTTAAAAAAAGATTTTGTTTACTTTTAGACAGAGAAGGGAGGGAGAAAGAGAGGGAAACGGCAACGTGTGGTTGCCCCCTGCACGCCCCGCCACTGGACACCCACCTGCAACCCAGGCATGTGCCCTAGGCTGGGAATTGAACTGGCAACCCCTTGATTCGCAGGCTGGCACGCAACCACTGAGCCACACCAGCCAGGGCACAAGGTCAACATTTTGAAGTTCTCGATGTTGCAATGGAATTTTCTTCCCATTTTGGAATGGAGTGGTCACAGAAGGCTTTATGGGGAGGTCACGTAGTCTGGGGAGAAGACATGGGCTTTGGGATCAGACAGCCCACACTGGAATTCGTTTACAGTGTGAATGACTGGGTCCAGGGCAGGCAGCTCCTGGACCCAGATTCTGCTTCCAGAGGACAGAGGCTGCATCTGGTTCAGGGAATTCTCCCCTGGGTCACAAGGCAGGGTTCACACTGTGCACTCCAGTCTCTTTAGAACCACACAAACCGATGCAGGGCACTGTCCTCATGAATACACCTCTCAGCGGGCACATCTGGACAATTCTACCTGTAAGCGCTATTCCAAGTTCTTCTATTTCCATCTCCATCTTGCTAGTCCAAGCTACCATCCCCTCACCTGAGCCAATGCAAAGCTCTGCCTTCCCACTTGTATTCCTGCCTGCTCAAAACCAGAGTGCTTTATATTTAAAAATATAAAATATAATCTGATCAGGCCACCCCCAACTCCTCCAGCCCGCTCGCCCACCTTGCTTGGAGTGCCAATTCCAGCTCCCAGCTCTGTGCAATTCCCTCTCTCTGCAATCATCCCTTATCCCGCCAATTCGTCCCCTGGCCACTCCCACTCATCCTCCAGGTGCTGGCTCGCAAACTCAAAGAGGGTCAAGAAATATCACATTTTCTCCAAATCTGATGGCTTCAATGTGCAGTGCTGAAGCAGAAATTAAATCTGTGGTCACTAGAGTGTTCCGTTCTTCTCTTTGGGTCTCACAAGCATTTAGGATGCTCATGATTGATCTGGAAAGTGCGCAAGGACCTCTGCTCTTCAGTCCATCTGGGTCGCTGCCGCTATCCTCACTGCCAACTCTGAGGCGCCCTGGAAGGAGGTGGTGGCTCCAAGGCATCAGGGTCTTTGTCTCGGCTGGAAGACTCGGTGTTGGGCTTCAGGTCTCCTTTGGGCACCCCCAGACCATGACTCTCTGAAGTTCACCGCGTCCCTGGGTACCATCAGCCACTGGGGCACTGCTTCCTACTACTCTGCAGAGGCTCCTTCTCTCCCCTCTTCCCTGTTTCCCAAACAAGGGACAGGCTGGCTTTTGAGCATGTCTGCTTTCTGCCGTGAACAGGAGCACAAATGGCCTGGCCACTTCCTTGGAGAGTGGGACAAATTCAGAAACAAAATTAAATTTCAAAACATGTGCTATAAAAGCTATTTGTCACAAAGGTCTTTCCGTAACTCCCCTTAACTGGGGACCAACCAGAATCAGGTCCCCCAGTCAAACCTCGTACCTGCGGCGGCGGGCACTGTTGGGGCCCAGACACTCTATCTGCTGTCTGTGCCCATTCCCTGGCTACTGTGTTTGCTTGTAAGAGCTCTGAGCTGCCCTGTTCTCAGAAGTCACACCCCATGGCCACACCTGGGAGGTAATGCCTTCCATGAGGCATGGCGGGAGGGACCCAGGCAACGACCAACCCACAGCGTACTGCACACAAAGGCCAGACCTCTCTGGTCTCAAGTGGGAAAACTCTGGGTGCACTTTCCATAGGTCCTGTGGGATGCCTGAGGTCAGACTTCAGCTGAAGCCTCATTTTTGTTAACCCCCCTGCCATCCGCCCCCCCTCACAGCTTTCTCCTGAGCACAACCTCTATAAAATCCCTCGCACAAGAAAGTGCCTCAGGCTTTGCTTCTAGGAATCCAACCTAAGTGACATCCTCTATTTTTTCTTCCCAGAATGTCACAATTGGAAATCACAGAAATGAGCTGATTCTGCCATCTCATAGGTCACAGGTCACAAACTTGGCAAGTGGGCAGTTCTCAGATGAGGGTAATAAGACAAGCAGATAAACCAACAGTTGCTATTCACCTTTCAGGTTATCATACTGATTCAGTTGAAACCAAGACAACTTTAAATTAGTTTCATGGGTCTACCAACATTCCTAAGAAAGGCTGGGCCCACAAGCAAGGCTGGATTCATAGGAACGTCTGCTAAGTTTTTTTTCTTTTAAGATTTAATTTAGGGAGGGAGAGAAACATCAATGTGTGGTTGCCTCTCAAGTGCGCCCTACTGGGTACCTGGCCTGCAACTCAGGGATATGCCCTGACTGGGAATCAAACCAGCGACTCTTTGGTTCATAGGCCTGTGCTCAGTCCACTGAGCCACATCAGCCAGGGCTGCTAAGTTCTTAAGTAGAGGTCAGTATTTTAGATATTACATACCATAAATACAGTTGTAGTAAAACCCTCATTTAACTAGAATGTGGAAGAACATTCTAGGTACTTTCAGTTTTTTTTGAAAAGCTTTCTCTTGGTATAAATTTTTTTTCCAAATATTGTAATTTTCTTTTCTACTGGGTTGTTTTCTTTAGTCATCTGAGGGACTGGTGCCTTGGGGTCTTTATTCTGAGCTGAATGACTTCTCAGCAAAACGCTGGTGCACAGGGATCTCCATTAGCCTGGATGTATTTGGATTACAGGAGAGTTGCTACAGTGTTATCACTGCAACCCTAAAATCAGCTCACTTGTTTTGTGATATACTTCTCCTTCTAAAAGCCAGGTAAAGAGAAAGATCTAGTAACGAAAGATAAGAGAGATTTCAATTACTCAGTATTTTCAGTTTTTCAACGATGGATATAAAAGTATAAGCCAGGGTCTCCTCCCATAGAGTTTATAATCTGGATAGAGAAAAAGACAGACGCCAATTACCTAAGGCAAATAATTCTAGGAGATAAACACATTTTGCAAAATACAAGTTCTCACACAATTGTATAAGTAAATGTTGACTTCATAGTGTTTTTGTTCTGTCTGAAAGGGTTTTGAGAAGTCAAGTCCCATTACTGGATAAAACTAGTAGTCCATCCAGCCAATCATCCCTTCTAGAAACATCAAAAGAAGTGGTAGAGAAAGTAGAGGGAACTACTAACAGATACTCTTTAATTTATTAATGTATCCAAAGTTTGAAAACATCACGGGGAGTCTCAGGAACCCCAGCAGTCAGTGAATGTGCTTCCAAATACCTATTACGCTTCCAGGCTTCCCACACACCCACTCAGACTGCTTCTCCTAGGGGGTGCAGGAGAAGCCAGCGATTCTCCTTGTGTTGGCTTCCTCTTTCTAAGCCCTCCCTGTCATACCTTCCATCGCCTGTCACAGGACACATATAAGCAGCTGGGGAGTGTTAAACTCTGGTAAGTAAAGCAAAGTTAGAGTTAAAGGCAAACCTTTAACCAAATATGTTCAAACACAAGCTTGGGAATAAAGAACTTTAGGTTCAAAGAGCCAAATATTCTGCATTCCTGAGAAATCGCAACCAGTTTCTCATTCTGGTGAGTATTTGCACATTGCACTTTGCTGCCACAAACTAAGTGGGTGTACATTTTTGAGTGCTGACCTATCACTAAAAGATCTGAATTAGGAGACTAAAAGAAAACCTTCAGTATCTATGTATTTTAAAAAAAATTCATCCAGAGAAGGGAGCCAGGTGTCAGTTTCCCACGGGGGGGACGTTCTCGTGCAGGTACTGCAGGGCCAGGTCGGTCCACTTCATCTCCTGTTCTTTAACGGACTCTGTGGTGCCGCCGTTGTCCTGTTCAGGTTCAGGAAGCTCATTCTGAAAAGGTACAAGGGACATTCAGAACAACAGTATCCTGTACATTAACAAACTCCTTAAAACTCAAGAGCATGTAGAATTAAAACCTGAGTTCCTAGAAACAGGCAGCATGACTGATACAAGTGTATCCCAAAGAAAGAGCCAGAGTAAGGACACGTGAGGAAGTGTCAGAGTTATCGCTCAGGTCCTCTCCAGGAAGGACTGGTGGCCTTGTGGCTGCTGTGCAGGAGGCAACTCGGGAGAAGGCTAAGGGCATGAGCTTCCAGAAGCCACCGGGATCCAAGGCCATGACTCCACCGCTTGCTGGGTTACTCAGGCAAGGTATTCAAACCCTTGGAGCTTTTGTTTCCTCTTTGGAAATGAGAGGACAACGGAGCCATTACCTCAGAGGACCGCTGTGAGACTCATGCGGTAATTCAGAACAAGTGCTCAGCACTGCGTGGGACATCCCACGCTCAAGGAGTATTTGCTATTATTGGTAGTGGCTGGGAAAGCTGAGAAGAGCCAATACTGTCTTTTTTTTGAGGGGGGGCCTTAACAGAATATCACATTTGCTGGCATAGTCCTTAAGCACAAGAAATGTATTCAAAAACTCTCCTGCACCCAACATGCCTAGATTATAATGGAGCTAAATGGGGAGCTGTGAAAATGTAACATGATATGAGACCACCCCCTAGTGGTGGAGTCGGGCAACATAAAACATGGCAAATGACCAATTCGTACCCTGCCAGCATTTGCTTAAAATGGTAAATCATGGGCCACACTTAGTGTAGAATCTGGAATAATTTTCCTATACACATATTTTTCTGCCCAGCTTTACTGAGATTTAATTTCCACATAATATTCTGTAAGTTTAAGGTGTACAATGTGATGATTTGATACATACATATTGTAAAATAGTTACAACAAGGGTAGTTAACACATCCATCACCTCACAGTTACCATTTTTGTGTGTGTGGTGAAAACTTTTAACAAAGTTTCCTTATATTTCAAATTTAAATTCATTACTACCAGGACTCTGCTTTGTATCAGAGTTCACTGATACCAATATACTTCTTTGTAATTATCTGAATTTATACTTTTTTTAGAGTTAGCAACCTTTACTCAATATCCAGACTTAGGATTTTCCAATGGATTCCATTTTACAGTATATAAATATAATAATGTTTTTTTCCTTTAGAATTATGTTCAGTATACATAAAACAACTTATGACAAGTATATTTGAATCACATATATCTTCTTGCTCTACAAGTGTTAAGACTGAAATTCAAACATACTTGTACAAATTGAAAGAACTACCATTTACTGTAAAGCAATAGTACACCTAAACTTGAAGTGAAAGTTTGGTTCCAATAATTAGCTATAGCTCTCAAAGCATAAACAAGTCCTTGCTTAATAAACTATGTAATTCAGAGGCAGGCAACTTTGCTGAACGTCACCCCATCTGTGACATGCATTCTAAATGATGTCTTCCATTTGGTCACTATTGACTCTTGGCAATGAATGCCAACACATAAAATTTCATATGTGCTTGGAAAACAAAGTATCATAAATGCAACCATCTATTACAGCATATTGTAAAAATGACCATAATTCTTCGCAGCTACTCTTATGAAAAGGAAAGGCAGTCTATTTCTCCAGTCTTAGACAGGGACTGGCCAGGTCGCTTGCTCTGGCCAACAGGAAGCAGGGACAGGGCCAGTGGGTCAGCTCCCGGAAGCCTGCGGTGTGCTCTGATGGTGCTCTTGGACCCTGAGATGGCCACGTGAAGTCGAAGTCAGGGCTAGTCTCCTGCATAATGAGAGACTGTGGCCTAGCCACCTGATCGTCCCAGCTCACAGCCTGCGTAACTGCCAGAGTGAGGAAGTCCTGAGTTACCCAGCCTCCAGCTAGCCTTCTGGCTGACTGCAGAACACAAGCAAGTCCAGCAGGGAGCAGCTGAGCTGATGAAGACCTGTCAGCTGAGCTACAAAATCACAGAAGTAGCTACAGTTCTCAGCCACTACGTTTCAGGGTGACTTGCTAGGCAGCACCGAAAGCTAACTGTTATGCACAATGCCTTAGCATCACAAGACAAGGGAAAAGACATGGATTATGGCAGGGCCAGGCTGCAACCTGGGAGTCAGCATGGAAATTTCCCTCTCCTTCATCCCCCATCACACAAATGGTCCCTGAATCCTGCCAAGCATGTCCAGACCCTCCTCCCTTGCCTAATGGTCTCCTCATTGGTCTCTCAGCCCTGTCACTTGCCCCTCTCTCCAAGGCAGACATTCTGTGACAATGCTGCCAACCTGATTTTCCAAAACCTGATTTTAAGCATGGCAGACTTCAATTCTGAAGACCATTCATGCCTGAGTATCCCCAGGATGAGGTCCAAGCACGGTATCAAGTGTTCCTCTCAAAACCTGGTCCAAATTTTCATGCTGACCTTTCCTGACAAACATATTTCCATTCACACTGAATACCTTGCCCTCCCTGAAGATGCTGACAGCTCTGAGCCTCTGCACATGTGTTCCCACCACTGGGGTGCCCTTGTCCACCCCCAAGAAACTTTGGGCCCTCCCTTATGACCAGCTTAAACATTATATTCTCTCTGAGGCCTTTCCTGATGCCCACCAGGCAATGAGCCACTTTCTATACTATGGTGGCCATTCATGACTCCCACTTAGAACACTTATGATTATATTATTATAATTATTTATGTCTATGTGTTACCTCTATAGACCCCTCCCCCTCATACACACACACACACACACACATACACCAAGGGCAGACACTGTATCTTATGCTCACATAATCCAGCACATAATCTAGCCGCTGAAGGTCTAGAGAGGTAACATATATAAGTAAGTAATTATCACAATTATTATAATGCTTGTGGAATGAAAGAAACCAAACTTTACAGGACAGGGTCTGGAGCCTTGCAGACCTAGGCATGAAGTCTAACTCCTCAGATACCCCTCCCAGGGCAAGCTCTGCCTCTCTGATCCTACTTCCCTCCTGGAAAATGGGGATGAAACCACCATCCTGGCAAAGCTGTTCCAAGATAAGAAATGATGCACATCAAATTTCAGCCCTAGTCCATGGCAAAAAACTGGTGCTCACCAAGTTGCAGCTGTAATTCTCATTACGCTCTTTTTTTATTATTTTTCTAAACTTGAACTAAGCTCTGACTTATTATTTGATATGTGTGTTACTCACTGAACACATTATCATCTCTTATTCTTCAGTGAAAACATAGGTTAACCGAAGTTTTGTTCTCTGTAATAGGGGCGGCAGTCCGTCTGCAAACTCTGTCTTATCAATAGCTCTTCCCGGGATAGCCAGCACATTCCAAAGAAAAATAGTCCCTGGTGTCTGAGCTCTGTGTTCTTTCTAGTCCTCCATGACACAAACGGGGTATTTAATAAGCAAGTATACAAGCAAAACTTTTAGACCATTGCTGACATAAGGTTTAACAGACTCCCTGCAGGGCGGTTTCCCAGAGGGCAGAAAAGCATATTCCAGGAGACTGCTGGTCTAAAGGCAAAAGAAGAAAAGCCAGATGTCTTTTGAAGATTTTCCAGGGAACTTAGGACAGGTGTGTGTTCCAAGAATGTGAGCTTTAAAAAATGTCAACAGACTGACAAGCCATAGGCAGGGAAGTAAGAAATACTGCATTGCTTATATGCCACTGCTTTATAGCCTTCCCTGCCCGATGCACTGAACTCTCATTATTCGCTTACTGGCTTTGGTGCACTTGACAGAAAATGGCTCAGAAGACCAGGGTTCCAGTCTTGAAATGACCCCTACCTGAGCTGGTCACGTCAGCTCTGACCCACATTTCTCTTCAAATAGTCTAGATGCTCTCCTGAAGCTTCTCAAGTTAGTGGACTCCACAGCTTTCACTGCTCTGCTCTACTAGTTTATTTGCCCACTGATATTTTAACTTGACAAGGCCCACCAGGTCACCCCTTTAACCCATCATCCCTAGCACCGATTACAGCATACCAGTGGTATTGCAACATCCTCGTAAGGCAACTTATCTTCTCGCCAGGCATCATCTATCAAATCCAAGATCCTTCCATCTCTCTGTACTTCACTGTCCATTCTCCTGCAGCTTCGATCTTGTCAAATCTGTAAGCCAAAGAGGTTATTTTTAACACATAAAGACCCAGGAGGTGTTGTAACCCAGTACTAGGATTTCCCAGGCTTTTTAGCCTGGACGTGTCTTTTCACACAGGACCACCCTGGAGGCTCATCTCACCTGGGTCAGGGGACAACTTATTTTTATGATCACAGTCCCTCCTCTGTTTCCCCACTCCACTCCTCCTCTCCCTTTCGGCGATGGATGCTTTGCAGTGTACACTGGACATCGGACACAGCCCAGCTGACACACCAGTGTCACAGTGTGATAGGAAGGCACTATATCTGAGGTCCTCTGTTATGACACCATAAAACATCTAGCATGTAGCTCTTCTCTCCTAACTTGCATTTTCACCTTTCCCTGTTCAGGATGCCTTTGATGAGTCTCTGACTCACAACAAAGTCTCCTCTCCGGTCTCTCTTGCCTTTCCTGCACCATTTTTATAAGAGTTGCCACCTGCCTTGGCTCTAATATTGGCATTCTTAGGCTAAGAAGCTAAATGAACATACTGAGGTAACATTGAACTGAGTTATACAGACTGGCCAACCACAGACCTGACAGAAATCCTCCACTGAGCTGGTAAAGGACAAGGCTTCCTTTCTTAAGGCGCCCAGGCTGGGTCCTGGAAGAAACACCTCCGGGTGAGCAATGGTGACAGGATCCTATGCTGCTTGATTCTTCTTCCCTTTGGGGTTTCTCTGATTCTCAATGTTGCACACCCTTCAATGCCCAGACAAGATGCTTACCTACCATGGCTGATTCCTCATCCCCCCAGCTTAAGTCTAAATGGCAGTAGTCAGCTTGGAAGGTACCTCTGGGTTCCTTGTTTCCAAGTTTGGGCTACTTTTCATCACAGGTGTCACCCTACCATGCCTCCTGCTTCCAAACAGCCCTCCTGATAGCCTGGAATTCCATGGCACCAAAGGTACTCACAGTACCCCCACTTCTTACAGTATGAAGACTCATACAAGACACAATCTTTGGGAGTGGAATCCAACTCCTTCATACAGGCCTGTGCTTGTCCCCAACAGTATGACTGCAAAATTGCCCTAATACTTGGGTAATAATTATACAGGTTGGGATGGGGGAAGGGTTTGTACCCCCATGATAAAGAATGAGGCTAAACTGAAGCAAAAGGTACCCAGGTACTTTTGCAACCAGGGAACCAGATAAGGTCTTGATGTTTCACACAAGAATTAATCCAGAATTACTCAGTGACTAACCCAAAACAAGAAGGATCCAATCTTTAGGAAATTTACACACAAGGGGTCCTTACCCTTAGTTCCAGTTATATTTCCAGAGTCCCTGTCTCACAAGATCCTTCCTTTTTTCTGGCTGCCACTCCTTTGTCCTTCATGCTCTGGCTTTTGTGATACCTTCCCTCCCTTTTCTCTGCTGATCAAAACCTGCTGGTTTTCCCAGGCCCACACAGATTTTCCCTTTTTGGCAAAGTTTTCTCAAATCACTCTAGCTGCAGCAGGCATTCTGCCCTCAGATACTTCCTTCTTGTCCACCAAACACCTATTTGGCCTGCTCTGTGACTCACTGCTCAGGTATTATCATCTCCCACTGTTATGTGTAAATTTTGTATCAAGGACTCCTTAACACCTCTCTCCCCAATTTGGCCTCAATGTTTTTCACCCGTTACTCTTTCAGACACCTCTAATCCTGTCATACTTTCCATCCTTTGCACTTAAATGACTCTTTCCCCCATCACTAACCTGTACTTTTCCTTCCAAATTCAACATGGGCGTTAGATCATCAGGGTCAACACCCCATTTCCAGAGTTAGGCGATAAGGTGTTTTCACTCTTAAGGGGCTGGAAAACATTATGAGAGGCAACGTCAGGACGGGGCCACTGTCCCAGGCATTTGCTCTACTCGACAGCATTAACTACTACCAGTTTCCTGATAAACTTTTCTTACACGTGTGTGATAGTCCTAATCCTGGAATGCTGTCTCCTCTTCCTCCGCACCCCGTCTTCCCACCCCCAACTAACCCACAGCTGGTCTAAAAAAACCTTGGTTGTTGTAGGAGGCCGTTTCTGCCCTACGCGGAGCGGAGCGCGGTACCCGCCCTCCCAGGTCCCCGTGCACACTGAACGATCCGTTGGGGAGTTTGTCACACTGCCTGTTTCATGCTCTTTTCTGACACCGGTGCGTGCGTCCCCCCGGGCAGGGGAATCTTTTATCCATCTCTGTAAATACATAGCTACAACGTCAAAGCAAGAAGGCCTTTTTTCCTCCCTAGAAATGACCCTCGCAGGCCACCACCATCTATACAGGTGTGCGAGGCGCCTCACAGCACCGACTTCCGGCCTCAGGCTGGATATACAAAAGTTGGAAGCGGGGCGGAGAGGGAGGGTGGCGGGAGAGGAACACTTCCAAGCCCGCCACCCAAGTCCCTTTCTACTCGATCAGGCGTGCGGTAAGAGCAGTGATGAAACGGATGAAATGAAGACACGGCCTCGACCGATGGGACTGGGGGCGAGATGTGACGCTGTGGAACGAACTCGTTCCCGCCCTCCAAAACCTAGGCTAGGGATGCGGAAAACCCTTACCGACACCCGACCCAGCGCTGTACCCGCGGCCGCCGAAGCCCACCCTCGGCACCACGTCATCTGCACTCCTTTTCCCCCGATCCCCGGAAGTGAGTGAGCCTATTTGCTTGCGCGGAGCAGGGCGGGCAGGAAGGAGGTGGTTTCCATTAAAAGTGAGCGGGCAGGGGGAGGAACGAACGTGCGGACGGCGGAGGCTGGACGTGAGGCGCGTGCGCGTCCCCGGCTGGAGGTAACGGCGGGAAGGCTGGGGCGCACGCGCGCGAGCGCGCGCGGCGGCTCTCTAACTGCATGTGCGCACGGAGGACAGGCGAGGGGCGGGCGTGTCCAAGTCCGGAGGCTGAATTGGCCGCGGCGGTGCCGCTGGCCGAGCGGCTGTATGGCCCGGGGCTGGCTTCCCCAGCGGCCCGGAGGCCGCCAGGCCCGCCTCCACCAGTCCGGGCCCGCTCCGGCGCCCCGCCCCTCGGCCCCGCCGCGTACCTCCAGCGGTCCCGCGAAGGCGGATATGGCATTGCCAGGCGCGGTGCCGCCCGGGCCAGCCAGGTGGTCAGCCCTTCCCTGAGACCCAGGGGGGCTAGGAGGTTGGTGGAGCAGACAGCTGCTCCTGACTCCTCAGCTCCCCGGGCGGAGCCACCCGCGGGTCTGTCCACCTCTTCCGGGGAGGGATCCCTGGGGCTACCTTCCCGCCTAGCAGGTCCTACCTTATCAGCTTGCTAGCATTGTTGCAACTTAGATCATCAAAGGCAGGGGATGCTGGCTCATTTATGGTGGGAAGTTTAGCAATTTTTAAAAAGTGAGCTGGTTTAAAAACGTTAATGTTAGTCCGGAAGGGACAGAAATGTGGTAGAAGTCATGAGGGACCGAAGTTCGGGAACCTTGAACTAGGGATTGCTTCACGCAAGTCACGAGTTGGGAAGTAAATAATAGAGTGAGGGTGTGAAAGGGGTGATTCCTCAGGAACACTTTAATAATGAAGATATGAAGACGGCAAATACTAGGCTTATTATGTGATTTTTCTTATGTCTCTTACAACATCAGAGAGTGAAGATGAGTCTGTTGTCAGTGACTAGACTTCATGTGTAGTTACAGTATACTTATTTACACAAAATGGTTTTTTTTGAGCTTTACATCTGATTCCTGAAATCTTAAGTGTTGTTTTATTCCTTTAATCAAGTGTTATGGGTAGGTACCTTATAGTTATACAGTGTCCTCCACATGCTTGCACTTACTGTTATAGATATGAAAAGGAAATCAGAATAGGGATCATCAGTACATGTTACCCTCAAATATTTACATTTAGATTAAAAAATGTAACTTAAAGATATAACAGTGTATCATTTTCTTATTTGGTGTAGTGCCATCTTGACCTTGCTGTTTGTATCATTAACAGTGGTCAGTACAATATAGTAAAAAATACAATGTAAAATGTGCTAGAGATTTATAAACATTCAGTCACACAGTTCTTTAAAATGTGTGTAGATTCTGGGTTTAAAAATTAACTGGATTGTAGGAACTGTGCATGTTAATTTTACTGACGCCATTTTCTCCCATTAAAAGGAAGACCTGTCCTTGGTCCTTTTTAGTGTAGGCAGCAGAGGTGGCCAATAGTCACAGTATCAGCAGTCCACTCTCAGAGCTTCCTACTTCAAAAAAAAAAGTCAGCCTGATTTAAAGTTCAGCTGAAGCCAACATTGACATAAGTTTCAGGAACTGAATTTTTTATTTTTATGTTACATTAGTTTTTTTTCTCCAAGAGCTAGGTTTTTTCAGTTTTACAAAAGCACAGTACTGTCACCCACCTATGAAAATACATAAAAATTCCATAATGTCAGCATTCAGTCTGGGTTTAGATTTCCCCACTGTCCCTTAAATGTCTTTTTATAATTAACTTATTTAGATCAAAATCCTTTAGAGATACACGTGTTGCATTTGGTTGACACACCTTTTAAATTTTAAATATAGCAATTCCTTGCTCCCCTAATATTCTAGAGTTAGCTGATTGCATCCACATGGTATCCTTTAACATGTAAATCTATTTCCTTTATTTTCTTTAAAACAACATTTAGACCTAGAATGCCACTATCTGCTTATAGTAGCCACCAGTCAGCTGTGACTACTTAAGTGAATGAAATCGAAGTGAAACTAAAAATTCAGTCCCCGTGCCATGTCAGCCTCTGCCATGTCAGCCTCGTTTCACGTGCTGGGCAGTCAGGTGCCTCGTGGCTACCGTTTGGCTGGTGTAGATATAAAATGTTTCCATAATTGCAGAAAATTCTGCTGAACAGAACTAGTCTAGAAGCTTGATCAGATTCAGCCTTGACTTTTTTGTTGTTGGGGAGACAGGAAGATATCCTAGGTGGTGCTGTACACTTCCTGTTGCATTAATTATCACAGAGGCAATGAGTTGTTTCTTTTTGTGATGTTAAGATTGAGCAGCTAATGGGTCTAGGTGTTGCCAGCCCTGTCCATCCATCATGAAACCCCTCATGAACCTTTCACTTATTGGTGAAGTTTTTTCATGGATTTAGATGGCCTATATCCATTATTGCATTAGGGGTTATAACATGGTGATTTTCTGATCACCATATTATATTCTGTCATTCCTTCAGTATTTGTTAGTTGGAAATCCTTCATGAAGAACTTTTTCCCATGAACTATTTATTTGACTACCATCATTTGTTTGAAATACAATTTGTACAGGAAAGGCAAGAAAAATGCTTAATTCTTTCCCTCTATTTTCAGACTTCAGTCATGAGTTGGTGGCATAACAACCTCCAAAGGTAACCATGAGGGTTTTTGACTTTTTTAAAAAAATCATCAGCTTATTGACTTGCATAAATTTAAACTATTTCAACCTATTGGCCAGCCTTTTTTTTGGGGGGGGGGGTACTCAAATTATCCTGTTTGTGCCTAGTGGTGGCTCCTGTAAGTTGGTCTTGTCCACTTTAATATGACCAGCAGTCTTTGATAATTTTCTCATTTTCTGGTAAAACATATTCCTGGCCATTACACGTTCTGGCCACCGAGCAGCCTGGCTCCTTTGAGTGGGAGGTGGTGTTCAGAGGTCAGCGTTGGGAGCTGGAGGGACTCTTGCTGCTGGGCTGGTCCTTCGTTCCAGGGTTTACAGTGGCCAGAATTAGGAAATATATTTTTAAAAGAGGAATATGCAGAATTCACACTGGTATTTCTAATTTAATTTTAATTTTATATATTTTTGCATATTTGGTTTTATGTTTATCTTTTTCTCTTTTGCTGAAAATATTGGTACCTAATGTCATTAACATAATTACTTTTTTCTTATCCAATATTATATGTTACTGTTTCAAATGAACACTACCAGTTTTATTATCAACAATATGATTCCTAAATAGTGTTCGGGTTTTTTGCAGTTCTCTTTTTTTCTTAGTACGTATTCCTCCTGGATGTGTGCTCTGCGACTGTTGCATTTTAAAGGCATGAAACAATTTGTTATGTGGCTAGGCTGATATCTAGTTGATAGTTGACTTATTTCATTTTATTTTCATTTTTTCAATCCTGCTTTTTTCCCATTTGGATTTGTTTTATTATATGTAAAACATTGGCATAATTTCTATAAAACAAGTGTCTGTAAAAGAAAGTACATCCAGATAAGTCGAGCTTTCATCCCTGTTTCCTCCTTCCTATTCCCTTAATTATAGGTGTCATAATTACTAGTTTTGGGTTTATCTGTTCCTAAAAGTAACTGCATTATATCTGTAGATCTTAGATATATATCTATATCTTTGTATGTGTACATATACACACATATACATTTTATATATATTCACTTTATATATATATACACACACACACATATATGTATTCCCCTTGCTTCAATAAAAGGTAAGTATTCTCATGTACTGTTTTGTATCTTGCTTTTTCCTACCTACTAATATATGTCCTGTATATTCCTCCATGGAAGCGTGCAGAGGGTGTTACCCCTTTTACAGCGTTTTAGTGTTTCATTGGTGGATGGGTATTGAAATCGTTCCCTGTTGATAAGTGTTCGTGTTTTTTCCTACTATTCCATATAGTTGTGTGATGTATATCCTTGTGCACATGTGATTCTGTATTCTTGCCAGTGTATCTTTGGAATGGTTTCCTAGAAGTGGCACTTTTGGATAAAGGCACTTTTGGATAAATGCATTTAATAAATGCATATGGACCGGTGGTTAGGTGCTGCCAAAATCTCCTCTGTAGTAGCTGTACCATTCTGCGTTCCTGTGTGCAGTGTGCGTGGCTGCTGGTCTTCCCAGGCCTCGAGAATACATATTGTCAGGCTTTTAATTTGTGGTTAATCAGATCCAGAAGAAACGGTGATTTAGTGTATTTTAAATTTGTTCAGCAAGATTGAGCACCTTTCCATATGTTGAAGGTTATTTGCATTTCTTTTTCTATGAGCTACTTGTTCATGCTTTATACTCATTTTTCTATAGATTTGTTTTTCCCCTTCAATTTTTAGGTTCTCGGTATATTGGGATAACTAAGCCTTTGTGATTTAAAATTTTCTAATACCACTGTCATTTGTCTTTTGTCATTAACTTTGTTTATGGCATAGCTCCTGGATAAAAATGTATTTTTATTTGCTCAGATTTCTCAGTCTTTTCCCTTATTTCTTCTGGATTTTGAGTCACACTTTAGAAAGTGCTTTACATTTTTATTTTGGAAAACTTCTTTGATACTTTATCTGCTGATTTTTCCCCCCTTAAGTTTAGGGGCCTTTCTGGGCAATGGTAAATTATACCAATAGTTTATTAGACTGGCCTTGGTATATCCAAGAGCTGTAGACCTTTGTAATCATGGTAACACCAAGGCAGGTAAGGGACAGAGCATTGTTCTCCTGCTTTCAATGAGATTTGATGGCTAGGCATGTCCTTTCTATTAGTACATATTTATTTGTAATTTTGCTCAGAGTTTTTTTCTTCTTGTGTCCCATCTTGTGAGTAATTTTATCGTGGCTGTGTACTCTAGATATTTTTTTCTGATCTGTAAAATGAAGAGGTTAAATTGGGGGTCTTTGGGTCCTTTCTAGCTCTTAAAGTCCTAGAAATATGTTAATGAATTTCAAGGATTTGCCCATTATCAGATATCCTATTTGGATTATTTGTTTCCCTAATATGTATA